GCGGGTTACGACCATACCTACTACCTCAGAGGCCGCAGGCAGCTACATCTGTTGGAATGCCAAGGGCCTTTTTTTGTCCTGGTGATTACAAGAGATGGGGGGGGGGTAAGGCAAAGTGCTCCCTTCATGCGCGAGCAGGCCCTGCTAGCCCTGCAATAAGTGCACGGCTCTCAGTTGGATCTCGAATCGCACAGCGGCTGCCCCCTCAACCGTGGCCAGGGGGGAGTGGCCTTTTTGGTTCTGGCGCCTACATCGGCCTCTACTTCAACGTCGCTCTGGCCAGTTATCCGCGGTCGAGTTGCCGTCCTGCACATCGCCAATCACACCAAGGGCTTCGAGGCGCTCGTTATGAACGCACACAATCATGACTTGGTGGCAGCAGACATGGACAGAGCGGCCGAGGCGTAGCATGCCTCACGGAACTGGGCAGCAGCAGCGCCCCAGCAAAGTCTCTTCACCGCCATGGGCGACTTCAATGCCAGCGCCGCCCCCTCCTTCAACTTCAAGGATCCCAGGCGCGGTGGCGCCAACACTTTGCCTCGCCCACAGAGATCGCACACGAGCTCCCCGCGCGCTTCTCGGCCAACGCGCATGCGGCCGCGGCAACCGACCGCGTCTTCATCTCCCTCTCAGGAACCGACTTGATGAATGTGGACGCGCGCCTCGCAAAGACGGTGCAGCCTTATCCGACAAAGGCTTTAGCGATCACGCCATTCTTTATTTACTTCTGGTCGACGCCTCAGCCTCACGGCCAGCAGAGCAAGCGATCGACCCGAACATCTTCCACGACCCCACCTACCAGCGCCACTTCAACTCTCTTATCGGCAACATTGCCAAGGCTGTGCTTGCGCCTAGCGCAGCCTGGAAGCAGCACAAGCCCATCATCAAAGAAGCGGCGAGACTCACTCGCAACCTTCAGCAGCGCGCCTCCCTTCATGACCACAGCCGCTGGGCAAAACATGGCAGGCTCACTACTCTTCGTGCAATTTCACGGGCGATTTGGCGCAAGGATTCAGACACAGCGTCGCTCCTCATGGCCACAACCGACATCGGCAGCGCGCACCTGCGCCTCACGGACGGCGGCCCCGAGCTCACGAACAGGGACGAGTATATTAAGTTGATGGACGCGGCGGTCACCGCCGACTACGACAGGCGCATTGCCCTCGCCACGAAGCGCCAGCTGCAGTCCAACGCCGAGATGCAGCTGGACCAGGCCGGTAGTCGGAAGGCCTCGATGCAGCTCACGCGCCGGGGGCAGGCCTGGAATCCGTTTCGCCGTCGGCTCGTATTTTCAGGACTTAGGATGCCGAAAGAGGGGGCACCGACAGCACCCCTCGCCACCACCAGTTCCCCAGGGGGCATTCTCGGAGGACTCCAGAAGTTTTGGCAGCCCATCTTCTCGATCAAGATTGTGGACCCCGTGGCCGTTCAGCAGTGCCTGTCCCAGCACCTACCCAAGTTCGATTGCGCGGACCTACGGGTTGCAGCTCTTCAGGACTTTCAGAGGGCCCTCCGCAAGGTCAGACATACCGCTCCAGGCCCACGTCAGATTCCACACGCTGCATGGGCCACCTCTCCTGGGTCTTCTCAGATACTTTATGACCTCATGATGCAGATGTTCGAAACGGGCCTGGCCCCGTGCCAGTTCAAAGACTCTGTCTTCGCATTTCTGCCGAAAGGAGACGAACCCCAGGGCCAGCATGCCGTCTTTCGAGGTCCAGGTGCCACTCGCCCCCTCTCCTTAAAGAACTGCGACGCCAAACTGATCGCTCATGTCGTGAATGTGGGTCTCGTGGACATGGTCAGGGATCGGACAATCGACACACACCAGGGTTTTGTAAAGGGGCGAAACTTTGGACAACACGCACTGACCCTAGACTCTGAGGCCCGTAGAGCAGTTCACTCCCCAGAGGCACCATATGTTCTTCCTATCCTTGCCAGCTTTGATATCAAAGCTGCCTCCCCATCCTTGGGATGGGAGTTTTTGTTTGCGTCGCTGGTAGATCGCGAGGTTCCTCCAGGCTATCTCAGTGTCATTTACGTGCTTTATCACTCGCTCTGGAGCCTGGGCCCGTGTAGGTGGCCGTCCTCAATGCATGTTTGAAATAGGCTCAGGTGCTCTCCAGGGCTGCCTCCTCTCGGGGTCGATTTGGGTTCTGGCTTTTGATGCACCTGTTGGACACCTAGTCCAGATTCAAAACACCCTCCCTGGATCCAAAAAGCTCGGTGCCTGCGCAGATGACCTGGGTCTCGCCCTCGCTCGTCTTGGGGCCCCCCTTTCCTCCATCCCCCGTTTCGGGCCATTGCTACTCTCGCAGGACTCGGACTACATATCCAGAAGACAGCGATTGTGCCCTTATGGCCCCCCTTTTCACCTGCCGCGCACGCCCTCACCCAGCGCCTCTTTGTATTTCTAGTGCCTGAGTGTTAGCGCATTCAGATTGCAGAATCTGCTCGCCATCTAGGCGTGCTCATCGGCCCAGCAGTAGCTTTATACATCCAATGGGAAGCCGCATTCGATAAATACTGGTTGCGCATTGTACAATTCGCTGCGAGCGCTCCTGGCCCCGCGGTGGCACTCAAACTGTATAACACATGTGTTATCACTGTCCTCTCGCACCTCACACCGTATTTTCCATGTCCAGTCACGTTCCTGCGGCGCGAACGCGGCGCCCTACATAAGATTCTCATGTCTCCCCCCAACGCATGGCGCCTCGTCGACCTCCTCGGTGCTCGCCCGTGGTCGCAATCGTCCTCCCCCAATTCGCTGATCACGCTTTCACTGGCCTCAGCGTGGCGCGCGGCCTCTGTCACGCTTCCCGACTGGAACCCACTACGTCGCTCTTTAGATTTTGCCCAAGACAAGTTCAATCCAGAACTGCCCCTGGCGGATTCGGCCCAGGCCCGCATTCGGGCCACCGTTTCCCCCGCGTTTTGGAAGAGCTCTGGCGTCGTCGAGCAGTGGCGCGAGCGCGCCGACGGCAAACCACCGCACTCTGTCTCACCGCTCGCCCGGCGCGCAGCTCAGCGAGCGGCCGCAGACGAAAGACTGCCGCTGTGCAAGTTTCCAGGCGTGCTAGGGCCCAGCGCTCCCTCGCTTCGGCCCTCCACTCCTCCCTCTTCCCCGACAAGTTCGCTGAGGCACTTGCGCGCCGTCTCTCCTCGGCGCTACCCGATCTCGTAGCGTCACTGGATCTTTCCGACCTCTGGCAGGTATTAGCCAGTCACCTCTCGGAGAGGGCCCCAGCCATTCGCTGGGCCGTATATCAGACTCTGGCAGGAGCGTGGTGGACCAGCCACCGCTTCCCCTTCGGCCCGCGCCGCACCTGTCTGCTCGGGTGCGAAGCTTGCCCAGATCGTTTCGGCCATTACCTCGCCAGCCCCCGCCTCCTTCACTTCCTCGCGTTACCTCGTTCCTTCCTCTCCTCGGGCCCCCTCGCTCTCGTCGGCGTAGGGATGCCTGGGCAACGCGCTAACCCTGAGCACGCTATTCCTGAGGTTGTCTGTCGGGCAGCGCTTTCATTGCACTTCTATAACAAACTGCGCGTCATCACGCACGCCGCGCCACGCGCCGCGCTTCTTCACACTGCTGGCACTGAGTGCCGAGCCGCTGCACTGCACGCGATGAGGCCGTAGCCTGAGACGAACTGGAGCGGGGGCACTTGCCCTCTGCTCGCGTCTTGCCCGTTTACCCTCGTCTCTTCCCTTCTTGGTGCGATCGCTCCTCCTCCTCCCCCTCGTCCTCCTCCTCCCCCGCGTCACCCCCCCCTCATCATTCCCCTCCCCCTCCTCCCCCCTCCTCCTCCTCCTCCGCCTCGTCGCGGCGTGCTTGTGGCTATCCGCACATGTTGTCTTCTTTCTTGAGGCGTGGATCGGCTAAGGGCGGGGCGAACTGTTGCAGTCAGACTTCATTCAATGTTGTTTTTTGTTCTGCCAAGGTGCCGTGCTATTGCATGTGTGGGCGATTATCATGCGAATCGGCGGTCGTGGGCAGGATGGTTTGGGTGTTTTCTCTCCGCTGTCCTGTGCACATTCTTCATTGTCCGTCTTGCGTGCGGGGCCCATGGGAGGAGCCTGGTTGTGCGCTAACCCACCCGCCCGCACCCGAGCGTAGCATTTCAAGCTGGCGGGCCGCGTTTCGAGGGACGTGGGGATGCAGAGGGTGCTGGCGTCATCGTTATTTACGGTTGGTGCCAGCCTCACCGCATGCAACAATGGTGAAGGTCGCGGCAATGCTTGTGTTCAGTCGGTCTGGCTTCAGAGCCACACATTTCGGCGCACATGCTTCCTTGTCAATGTGCTCGCGCTGCCATGGTGCTGCGTCGCTGGAAGTATGGGTGTCGTCGTATCTGTATTCTGCATGTCGAGGGACCTGAGGGTGCAAGGGTTGTTCCAATCATCTTTGTATTGTGGCGCTGTCATTTTGCATCCAATAATGGCGAAGCACGTGGCTTACTGTTTCGGCATCATGCACTCAAGTCAGTGTGCTATATCCCTTGTCAGTGCAATCAAAGTTCGCGCACGCGGGTACGATCTTTTGTATTGCTATTGTGTGGCTGTCTGTGGAGGAGGCGATCCCGTTTGGGGGTTGCCCGATGACCAGTGATGCGTTACAAATCATTGATGAATGGGCCGCGTCGAGCCGATTTCACCTGAGCTGAACATGTATATATATATATATATATATGTATGGTTGTGGTCTTGCACGTATTCCACCATTCCGTCTTTTACGTGGAGATGGTCAGTGGGTGGTTTCATTATGAAGACTTCGTATCATGGTCCTGCTCATGCTCCTCCTCCGCGTCCTCCTCATCGTCATCATCATCTTCCTCCCCCTCCTCCTCCTCCTCCTCCTCTTCCTCCTCCTCCTCCTCCTCCTCCTCCTCCTCCTCCTCCTCCTCCTCATCCTCCTCCCCCCCCTCCTCCTCCTCCTCCCTCCTGCTCCTCGTCCTCCTCCTCTTCATCCTCGTCCTCCTCCTTCGCCTCCCTTTTACTCGAAGGCCCCAGTCCCGCTGCCCGTCGTCACCGCCGACGTGGAGGAGCCCCCGCAGGGCGGCCCCGGCAGCCTCAGGGCGTTCCTGCTGGAGAGGGCGGCGTTGGTCTGCATCGCCACCGGCCGCGAGAGCGACGGGGCCCCAGCGGGCCGCCCCCCCCCCTCCACTGCTGCTGCTCATGCTGCTGCTCATGCTGCTGCTGCTGCTGCTGCTGCTGCTGCTGCTGTTCCCCCTACGTCCCCTCCACCTTTCGGGTGTTGCCAGAGCTGCCCTTGGCCCAAGGAGCCCTCAGGATTCCCAAGGAGTGGACAGAGCTGGAGGAGCTGGAGGAGCAGGGGAAGGTGGAGGAGGGGAGAGGCGGGGGGCGACAACGATGAGAAAGGATTCGGACCCAGAAAAAATTGCCCGCGCGGGGGCCAGACCGCCATTCCGAACGACGGGAGCAGAGCCCCGATCCTGAAATGAGACCCACGCTGCAGCGGGAGCGCCATTTCGGAAGAACGGAGAAGGTTCGGATGGGGAAAACGCGTAAGCAGAACCAAGTCGTACCAATCCTATGTGTCGAGGACAATACGCGGAGGGGGGCGCGCGACTCTGAGGCCGCGTCTTTGGGGGGAGAGATAAGAGTTGCATTCAAATTGTATTCAGATTGTGCACGTGTAGAAGATTTGAAAGGGGGGCGGAGGGGAGGGAGGCGGGGGGTAGAGCGGAAGAGAGTGTAGGGGGGGGGGGGGGGAATGCGGTTGGGAGGAGACGGGGAGACGTAGAGGAGGCAGAGGGACCGGGATTGGGGAGACAAGGGGGGGATGGGGGAGAGAAGGGGACTAAGGACATGGCCGTGGTCGGGAAGATCTTCACCGACTTCTGCGAGGCGCGCGAGAGCCCGAGTATGCAGAGGCCCCCTTCTCCTCGGGAGATACAGAATCTTGTGTCTCGCACGCGCTTGCCGCTCCGCCTGTCAAACGCCTTACTGATCGCGCGTGAACCCTGCGACTTCGTTTGCAAGCTCAGCAGACGCCCGGCATCATAACACGCGCTTCGGGCCCGTCAGGATTTCTCAGCGAGCGTGCGACAGCTCTCCGACCCTCATCGCAGGCATCTTAGCGGCGCGCAGAAATGGGGGGAGGGGGGCTGGGCGAGCGGAAGCGGCGTCTGGGCCTCCCGCTTCTGAGAGGGCGTTGGTGGGGGGGGACAGCGTTCACGGGGGGACGGCCCCTTGTGGTAGGCCCCCCCCCACCCTCTTCGGGAGATTGCCCCCTCGCCCGTGCCCATCTGGAGCTTGCCCGAGGTCTCCAGGGGCCCCTGGCCCGTGCCCATCCGGAGCTTGCCCGAGGTCTCCAGGGGCCCGCGGAGGTCTCCCCGAGATCTTTAGAGCCCCCCTGGATGCCTCCAGAAGCTTCCTCCGAAGAGGGGTTTAAAAGTCCTTGGGCGCTGGAGGAGAAGGAGGAGGAGGAGCAGGAGCAGGAGCAGGAGCAGGAGCCAATGTCAAGTTGAGCCTTTATTCTCGATCCCCACCGACCCTCCTCCCCAAGGCCAGCCACCGCCGGGGGAACCGTGGTCTTACATCCCTGGGGGGTCCGTTGGCCTCGGCGCCTGTCTCGAGAGGTCGCCTATGCGATGGGCTCCCCGGGGGACAATGCAGTCTCGGCGGCGACGATGAGGGCGAATAGCCCAGGGGCGGGCATTACACGTATTCGCCCGGGGGCCTTGTCGAATGCATAGATCATCGGCGCCCCTGAATACATGTATTGCTCTCTCCTGGGCTATTCGCCCCTATCGTCGCCTCTGACGGCCAACCCGCAGAGTAGGGATGAGCGACCTTGCAGGGTTACCCTTTCATCCCTCCCCTGCGGCTCCTCCTTGGCCGCTTTCGCTGGCCGCGCGTCGCTGGCAGAGTGTCGACAGGGGCCCTCCAGGGCCCGTGCATCCTTCGATCGTGCGTCCTGAGCACACGGGTCCACGGCACGGGAGCCCACGGCTCCCTCGGCTGGGTCCGGTCGGCCCTCCTCGCCGGAGAGGCTCCTGGGCATGCTGCAGTGCGCGGGCGCGCTGCTCGGTCCGCCCTGAGGCCACCGAGGCGGGCCGTGGGCGCGCGCCGCGCTGCGGCCGCCGCTCCGCGAGGCTGCGGCGGCCCCGCGTCGCGCCGCGGCGGCGGGGCGCGCGGCCTCGCGTCGCGCCGCCCGCGGCCTCGCGTCGCGCCGCGCCCCCCCCCCTGGTGCGCACCGTCAAAAGCCGCTGCCCCCCCCCCCCCCGAGGCGTCAGCCAGTCTTTTGCGAGGTCGAGCTTCAGGAACTGCCAATGGTGGGTCGGCGCTGGCGTGTTTTGTTGATCTGGGGGGGCGCTCTGGGCGGTTCTGGGAGCGTTTGGATCGAGGGCAACCCAGGGGGGGGACCTCCTCCCCATCCCCTTCCCCCCACCCCAAGAGGGAAGCAGCGACTCCCCCTGTCATAGTGGTGACCCCCTCCTGGCACTGCCTGGGAGCTCTTCGGGCGGGTCTGCCGTGCGACGCCGACCCCTCGCCGCGGGATCAGTGCCCGGTGCTCTGGCCGCCGAGGCGAGAAGCAGAGGGGGCCCCCGTCCCCAAGGGAGCGGGGGGCGGTCTCCGAGGTCTTTCGCCGTGTGCGGCCTCTGCCTGGGCCTCTTCCCCCGCCGCCCCGGGGGACGTCGCGAAGCGGCTCGGGACGTGACGCCAGTCTCGGCCGCGCGTCAGAGCGGCCCTTCGCCAGAGTGGCTTTCGGTGCGGGCCCACTGAGGTCGCCGGGTCGCTGGATGCGGTGCGGCAGCAGCGGCTGGCGCCCCCGGGTCTGACACATCCCGCGCCCACACAAAGCTGCGCACCAAAGGTCAGTCTTGCCCAGGGTCACTCTTGCCGACGCCCGAAATGGGTACGGAAAGGATGGGTGAAATGTCCAACAACAAATGTTGTCCCAAACCAACAGCGGCTGCTGTTGTGCAGGCGGCCTTCTGTCTCAAATGGACAAAGGCCGCGGCGGCGTTGACAGCGAGTCCTGTTCAAAATGAACCAGATCCGGTGTTGCGCATTGTACCCCTTCTTTCCGTGCCCATTGCGTTCGGACGCGCGCGCGCGTGGTCACTGCCAATTCCGAGTCAAGCTTGCACGAGTTTCAAGCATGCGGGGCGCGAAGCATTGCGGATGTTGCGTGGACGCGGTTGGTCATTTGCCCCGTCAGTACTGGTCATGGCGCTCGTGGAGGTCTTTGCACTCAGATGCGGGCAGCGACGCCCTGGGCCTACAGTTGAGCAGTGTCACGACCTCCATCAGATTATTGGAGCCTCAGTCTCTGCAGTATTGCGAGCGCCGATGAGTCATGGAGATATGCCCTTCTTAGAATGGCAATACAATTTCACGGCAAAAGGAGAAAAATATCAAGTGGACGGCAAGGCACAAGGGAAGGATTTCAGGTGTTAGCTGGCAAGGTCGAAACGGGATGGAAGTAGCTCGAACGCGAACTTTCGGAGAGGTGTGAGAAGTGCAGGTGCTCGTGAGCTCAGTGCGCAGCTTCTGAGAACAAAGTGTGCGGTGCATCCTCCTCCTCCTCCTCCACCCTTTTACTATTCCACCTCCCCGTTCCCTTTGATGCCGTGATCTCGTGCGCTCGCTTGCACGACTGTTCTGAGAGTGAAGGTCCCGTCCCCCGACAAGCGACACGCGCAATGCCGAGTCCGACCGATCCGATCGTCCCTTTGTTCTCACTCCTCCTCCTCCTCCTCCTCCCACCCCACATGATGGAAAGAGGCCGGCACAGAAATAGGGATCCCAGAAAGAGTGATGGGACCAGTAGGAGGGATAATGAAGAGGAGCCTACCCATTCCAGAGCAGCGCGACATCCAGACAGGGATGCAGAAACGGTTGTTCGGAGTTGCTGGGCAGGAGGGGAATACTGCTCTGCTAGGCTGCGACGTTCGACGTGCGTCGTGGGTGGGCGCGGACGCGACGCCCACCCACCCACGACAGAACATCAACCTCGCCGCGGCGTCCAACGCACCACCACCCGGCTCCTGCGTGGTGCGACCTTCGACATGTGTCGACGAGGAGGGGTGGATGAAACCTCAGACGAACGCACAGATCAGCCCAAGTTGCAAGAGAAGCTGCTCTCGGCGTGACTGGCTTGGGCTTCATCCGAAACTGCGAGGGGCCGAGGGCGAGGGCAGCAGGGGCCGAGGGCGTGGCGACCCCGGCAAGCTCCGCGAACCGCATGTCCGACATTTTGCCAAACGCCGTTCTTGTTCCCGTGACAGTTTGTGGCTCGGATAAATCTTGAGCCTTCGGTCCGCAAGCTGGTGTTCCATCAGAAGGCTGTCGGGGAGCATCTATCTTCTGACCTGTTCTGGATCACCACCGATCGTATTACAGGGCGTGTGTCGATCCACGTCAGGTTTTTGTCCACGGTTTCACGATCGAGATCTGCAAGAAGCAAGCTCAACACGCATTAAGAGAGGTGAGGGGACGACGGGGAGGGCAAAATCGGTCTCCTCCTCGGCTCCATGGCGCCTGGCCCTTGACGCTGGCCTGGCCGTACTTGTCAACGGCGGCCCCCAGCGTCAACAGGGTTGGGCGCACATCCCCTTCTTTTAGTCCTCTCCCCCCCCACTGAGACCCTATCGCTGCAGTGCAGCACTATCCTACGACTCCCCAGCCGCCTTCAATCGGATTGGTGTGCTCAATGAGCTGGGGCACCGTGCGTATAATTACTTTGGCAAGCCACTGGCCAGTCGACCGTGATGGGCCCGACGAGGGGAGGGGTCGGTCAGGGGACAGGTGCGACTCAATGCTTAAAGGCCTTCTGTGCTACTCGAGCTCTTTTTGTTCGCCGGTGCCTTGGATCCAAGTTGCGGTCGTGGCTGAGTCAGGGTTGCTGCTGTGTGAATTGGGCAGTAAGCCGGCAAAGAGGGCCGGAAGGGAAGGGGGGAGAGGGCCAAGGACGGCCGGGGTGCCTTCAAAGCGCCAAGCACTTCGGAGTGTGCTGGAGGCAGGCTCGGGTCTTTGTTCTTGTCAGCCCGTCTGCGGAGGCATTGCCCATCAGGGTTTTGGAGACGAGTCATTTCATAGGCCAGATGAGATGAACTGTGCAACACACACAGTAATTTTTGGTGTTGGATGTGCGTGCGTCTCACGTTCGCGAGACCAATTGCAGTGGGGGCCCATCACCAGTCAAAGTCAAGTAGCCTCAGCTGCTGGTGGCCAGCAGCGCGGAGAAGGCGCTGGAGAGGGAGCAGGACTTGGATCTGAGCTCGAGCTTGAGTGAGAGCAGGGCAGGAGCAGCGAGAAGAGTTGGCGGAGCAGGGGACGCATGTGCCACCGAGGAGCTCGGGCGACACGCGAAGTGCGTCGGCATCGGAGAGTGCGGCCTGGATTTCTTCAAGCACACGCAGGACGTCGCGCGTGCGTCTGCCACGTCTCTCCTCTGCTTGCTGTTCTGTGTAGGCTCTGCTGCTCACCTGCTTGCCGTCCGACGCTGCTCCTCCTCCCTCTGGCATCCAGCGGTGCCTCTGGTGTTCCCAGATCAGCGCTTGCACAGGAGGGATCCGCGCAGGCGGTCCCCAATCAGCGCTTGCATCAAAGGGGTCCTCACGGATGTTGCAAGGAGTTGGCGAGAGTCCCCCGCAGATTGGATCATGGGTTCCCACCTTCCAGATCCAAGGGTTTCGAGCTGTTGGCTTCTCCAGGATGTCGTAAGGACTTGGCGAGTTTTCGCAACCATTTTCAGTAGGCTGCGAGGTTCTTCGGTTCCCAGTCAGTTATTGGGTTCTTGGGGTACTTGGTTGCGGCCAGGCCCCCGCGGTTTTCAACTGCAGACAGAGAAAAGCGCAGCTGAAAAGCAGAAGGTGTAGGCTAGACCGTTGAAAGCAGAGCGCAGGGAGCAGAAATCAGAAAGCAGAGGGTGTAGTGTGGAGAGCAGAGGGTACAGATGCGTGGTAACACGTCGAGGGAAGACAGTCCAGAGTGGACGACTGAGGGTGGATGGGTTGGGTTGGGATCACTTGTAGGTGGGGCGGGGCAGTTGCAGGGTGGGGGCCAGAGAGCAGGTGGAAGAGAGTATACAGCCGAGAGCAGAGGGCCAAGGGTGCAGCATTCGTCCTTGGCACAAGTCCACCACCTGCGCGTTGCCTTTGCACGATTCGTGCGAGCAGCCAATTGAAGTTATCTCCCCCCCAGTGTGTTCGCTGGAATTGGTGAAGGCCCCACGCCGGTATCACTGGGGGTGGGAGGGGAGTGGGGGGGCAGTTCCCTGGATTGTGGCTCCGAGTTCCTAAGGTCATTGTGTTTTTGGTTGAGGCCATGTTCTTGGGGTCTCGGCAGTCCACACAGAGTAGAGTGTACCTTTCCGAGAGTACATGGTACACGGAGTCGAGAACAGAGTGTGATAGAGAGTACATTTTGGTAGAGGGAGCGGAGGGAGGGCAGGGAATGTAGAGACAGTAGAGAGAGAGAGAGAGGAGACAGAGAGTAGAGTGTATAAATGTACACACACCGCGTGTCTGAATTTATGAGCAGAGTGCACAAAGTGAAGAGTAGACAGTGCGGGTTAGAGATCACATGTAGAGCGAGGAGGAAGAGAGTGGAGTGTAGAAGACAGAGGTCAGAGGGAGAGAGAGGAAGGGAGGGGAAGAGAGAGAGAGAGAAGAAACAGATAAAGAGAGAAAGAGAGAGCGATAGAGAGGCAGCCACACACACACAAAACAAACAAAACGCGTCATCCTTAGCTATCGCCCGCCACCAGCACGCTGCATCCACACGTTTCGCACGAGCGGCTGATATTTGTTTTTCGGGTGACATTCCCATTATATCGTGACGACCTCCTCATGTCTTTCCTCATTCCCTTCGTCTTCCGCCTCGATGGAGAAACTCCCCTACAAACCAAATCTACCCTTGATTCTCCTCCTCGCCCCAGCGATGAAAGACGCCCTCCTGGGCAGCCACTCATCCGGAGTTCGCAGCTACAGCTCGTCGCCCCCTCACTTGCCACACCCGGACGAGGGCCACATCTGGGGAGGCCGAAACGCTGACACGATCATTGATGAATGCACGGGCTTGAGGGCGCGGTGCGGGCCAGGAGTTTCTTGCACCCGCTCCCATTGTCTCCCTCCCCCGCCGCCCCACGACCGCGAGCTCGGCACCAATAACCACCTGGGCCCCCCCCCCCCTGCCGCCATCCTCCCTCTCCTTTGATCAAACGCACACGCGTGCACCATCCTCCTCCTGCTCCTCCTCCTCCTCCTCCTCCCCCTCCTCCTCCTCCTGCTCCTCCTCCTCGTCCTCCTCCGCCTCCTCCTCCATTCTCCATTCTGCATTATCCTCCTCCTCCTCCTCCTTATCCTCCCCCCTCTCCTCCTTTTTTTTTCGCTTGATCAACCTGAGCGTGAAGCTGTGACCTTCGCCCTCCTCCTCCTCCCCTCCTCCTCCTCCTCCTCCTCCTCCTCCTCCTCCTCCTCTCCTCCTCCTCCTCCTCCTCTCCTCCTTCTCTTCCTCCTCCTCCTCCTCCGCCTCCTCCTCCCCATCCTCCTCCTCCCGCCGAACCTGCCCTGATGCCCCCCAGGGCGAGGCCGACCTCCAGCTCGGCGCCTTCCGCGCCCAGGCCGCGCTCGCCGTGGAGCTCGGCCGGGCTCTGGTGGTGCACGCGCGGCTGGCGGCGCGCTCGGGCTGGCCAGCGGGCTGGGGCGGCCGGCTCGGGCGTTCGGGGTGCTCGCGCCTGGGGAAGGAGGGCGGGGAGAAGAGGGGAAGGGAGCGGCTGGGGCGGCTGGCTCGGGCGTTCGGGGTGCTCGCGCCTGAGGAGGGGGGGGGGGAGAGGGGAAGGGTGGATGGAGGGGAAGGGGGGGGGAGAAAAGGGAGTGACAGGAGGAGGGGGAGAGGGCGGGGAGAGGCGGGGAGAGGAGGGGAGGGGGCCCTACGCAGCGAAGATCTCCTGCAAGATCTGGCTCGACGGCCAGCAATTCAACCTTCGGGAGTGTCCCTCCACCGTCGCCGGAAGGATCCGTCGTGAACTTCGTCAGTGTCCTCGTCGTGGACACGCGGCATGGGGAGGGAGGTAGCAATGCCAGGCTTCCAGGCGGAGCTCGGCGCGTAGCACGCTGGTCGCAGCATCCTGAGCCCCCCCCCCTACACTTCGACGCGCCGCGCGAGACAGCCCAGTCCCCCTTTTCAAAGGGAGCGTCGCGCTGAGCACGAGGGCCTGAGGCTACGTCACCGTTACGTAACCCCGAGATCGACGCCAATTGCGAGCCGACGTCTCCAGCATGGGGATTTCGACGAGCGCGCCGGCGACAAGGACGGCCCTCAGCAACGCCCCCTTGCACCGTGGCATGCCGAGTTAGCAAGCGTCACTACCAAGCCGAATGTGTTGCGCCACGGCGATACTGCAGCCGCTGGAGTGCCGAATGTGGTGCGCCACCGCGCTGTCCACCAGCAGACCGCTTGCTCTATGCGGCCGCGGCCGCCCCGTCGCCACCGGTTTACGTTTACCGCTGGTGGAACGATTTGCATGTTGATTGCCACGTCGCCTCCCGGCGGTGCGCGTGTCGCCGCGGGAGGGGTTCGATCTGGCCCCGACCCCGCCTTCTACCCTCGCCTCGGCGGCTTGCGGCGGACCTACCGTCCCTCCTCCCTCTCCTTGCGCGGGGGCGCCAGCAGAGGGGTGGCGCCCCCAAGCGCCGAGCGATGTTCGTTGGGCCCTGTTGCCCGCTTGAGCAGCAGAGTCCACTGGCGTTCTTCTGGGGACGCAAAGGTGCCTGAAGAAGGGGGAGGGGGAGGGGAAGGAGGAGGAGGAGGAGGAAGAGGAGGAGGAGGAGGAGGAGGAGGAGGATCTGCAGTCTATGGGTAGGGTGTGGTGATGATGTTGTAGGCGGCTCTCATGCGTGTGCGTTCCAGCGTGCCTCCAGCGCCCAATCGTAGCACTGGCGCTCGCAAGTGCCTCATCCTGCTCGTACCCCTTCTCATCGGCCACCCCAGCCTGAAGCGAAGGCCCCTTCCCCAAAGAGAACCCACAATTCCAAAGCCATCTCGAACCTCGACACCCATCTCATCCTTGCCGGCCGTTTCCTGGCAACGATCGGTGACTTGTACTCGCGGGGGCGTGGGGCGCCCGAACTGAGGTGACGCGATCCAACGAGGCGCTGTGCCTAGGACCGGTAGCTCTTACGGGGGCCCATCCCCGTCGGTTGCCCCTCGTCATGGAAAGGCCTTGAACGTTTTTGGAAAAGTCAATGCGGAAGTGTTTCGCCGTGTTCGGCCTCTCGGGCCCTTACGTGGCCCCTACATAGTTCAACATCGAACCCAGGATGAACAGCCCGCTGTGGGGAAGTGGTCGGGACTTTTGAAACAACATGGTTTTTCAGCGTGGGCCCAAAACGATGAGTTATTGTTTTGTGGATGCGTGGCACATGCGGCGCAAAGTATGTGGTGCAGTGTACGTGGTTAGGTCCATGTGTTGCAAGCCATGTGGTGCAATCTTCGCGGTGCATAGCTCTATAGAGCCATTGATGTAATTCAAGCGATGCGGATCTAGCTACGTATGTGCTGCAATCTACGTGGTGCAAGCTACGCAATGCAATCTACAGCGGGCCCCATGTGGGCGCCCACGAGCGCCCACTTGACGGAACCTCAGGGGACCTAGACAGCGCACGGGGCGCCCAAGAGGCGCCAACGGGCGCCCACCAGGCAAAGCTTCGGCGGACCCAGCCAGCGCACGAGGCACCTACAGGCGCCCACCAGGCGAAACCTCGGCCGACTCTGCCAGCGCGCGGGGCGCCTGAGCAGAAGGGGCAGGGTGAGGGTGAGGAGGAACAGAAGCACGAGAAGGAGGGCGAGGCCACGGATGAGGAAAAGGCTTCCGAGGAGGAAGCGACGGAGGAGGAAGAGGAGCGTGGGCTTTGGACTGAGGTCCCATCTGCCTGCTTGACAGCGCGCTGGCCAGTGGAATCTGCGCTGGCGAGTTGGCCGGGGATGCTTTGGAAGCTGAGCCTGGAGTTGCCCTCCGTCCCATGGCGAAGTCAAATAATCTGATTGCAATTGGGGCCAGCGTGGACCAGTCTATCCGGCAGCTGGCGTGTGTGGAGAAGGCGTTGAACATCGAGGGATCAAGCTCGAGCCGTCCAGCAGGGAGGTACTTTGGGTGTCGCAAACCGGCTTTGGGGAGTCCACGGTAATGATCGAAGGTGCGGAGTGGAAGTTTACAGTTGATATGTTGTTTCTCGGGCATGGTTTGCAATTTGCAATGTTCGGGGCACACACTGAAATGCCGTGACGTTGCTTTACGAAAGATCCGAGGGATGTTCCACGCAAATTCGAGGCTCCTGCGCATCCAGGTGGCATCGGTGGCTGAACGGCGCAAGTTCTGGACCGGAAACCATCCTGACAGCCTGATGACATATTATTGTCCGCGGTGGCACATGAACAACAAGGTGCGGAACGCGTTGGGCGTTGCGCAGGTCCGTTTTGTGTCTGCTATCCAGCGGATGGGACGGTAGGATGGAGAGCCATACCGAGCATGGCGGGCGCGGCAGGCCAGCTCAGCCAAACGAGTCAGGGGCAAGCCACCGAGCTTTCTTTGCATCGAGCGCTGCATGAACTGGCACAGGCACCTCGAGCCTCACCCGCACTTGCCGGCTTCGATGGCTCTGAAGGTGCAGCCACCGGCTTAATTGCGCGAGCGCAGGGCAGAGCAACCCAGCAGCGCGCGCCACACCCTAAAGGGGGGCGTCACCGGCACTCGGGCGAGAAAGGGGCGTCCCAGCCGCTGGGAAACATCACGGGCAGAGGTGATGGGAAGAGCGCCTGACCGGCGCCAGGCCACAGAGGCTTAGGTCAACCGAGCAATAATGCGCATAACATTGTGTCAATGTTTGTTGGCTTGTCCTCCCGCGCCTGATTCGTGCCTCCTCCGTTCCGTCCCTCTCCGTGTTGGTGCCTCTCCCCTCTCTTGAGGTGCACCCCTCGTTCGAAACTATGCGTTTGCTGATCGAGCCTTCGATTTTCCCGAGTGTGGTCGGTTCCGCAGTGTAGCATGCGTAGCAGTGTAGCAGCGCAGCAGCATAGCATGCGCAGCGTACCATCTCGTGACAGGCGCGAGCGAACGACCGAACGCACGAGGAAGAGGCTGCTGGCGCATTGTCTTGGTGTGCCGCACCATCTTCGTGTCCGTGGACACGTCCAGGGTAGTTGTGGGGGTAAGGTGTAAGACCTGTGAAACGTTGGAGGATGAGGAGAGAATTCGAGTCCTCCTCTCTACATCTTCCGAGTCGACTCCGAACGAAGAGGAGGAGGAGTTGGCGCTTAGAGCGTGGTGCTCCCGCGGCTGGTTCAAGAAAGCCGACCGAGGAGTTGGATGATGAGAGGGAGGACAACAACGGGTGATGATTTGTCAAGGACGAGGAGGAGGAACAGCGTAAACCCAAGAACCCAAGATGCACAAACGGTGGTGCAAAACACCTGCCCGTCCCAAGTCCCATCGTCAGAAACCCCTATCATTCTTCCGCTTCAGAAGAAGAAGCGCCCCCCCCCCCTCCCCTTGAAAGACCAGCACAGTTGGGAGTGCCATGTTGGAGAGGTCGTCGTATTGAAAATTTTATTACAAAGTATCTCACTGGCACGGAATCAGAATTCCGAAAGACAGCGACTATACATTTCAACGAGATGCCCAGTGAGACAACCCATTCGAAGAAGGACCGCACCCCACCCGTTTACTTGCTGCACACCTGTACATTTACGGCCATGAGTATCAAGGAAGGTCCCAGCGAGAGCTAGATTCTGAAAAAGAAATGACATGGATCCGTGCCGCGCTGCGTGCGTTCAAGTTTCGACTGTAAACCCAACGACGTCTCTGGCAATCACACCATAGTGAAAAAGGTGTAGCCCGCCATCCTGCGAAGCGTTGTCTTAACATCGAATGCGTTTGAAAAGGGGCCGCCCTACACTTGTGAAGCTAGCGCAAGCTTAAGACGAGCGTGTGCGGTGCGAAGGCGAGAACACCGTTTTGGAAGCCATCCCCTTCTCATACGTGACACCACTACAGACTTTTACAACGAATGCTCGCGGCGCTAAGGCGAGAGGCATATGTTGAAAACGCTCCCGTCGATTCGTTAAGTTTGTGCACATGTACCAGACGAGTACACGCGGCGCTCAGGCGACAGCCACAGTTTGAAAGCACATAGCCTTCCATCCGCGAAGCCGTTGCAGACTTTTACAACTGATGCTTACAGCGCCAATGCGAGAGCCACACTTTGACAAGGAGGCGCCTTCCACCCGCATCCCGGATGCAAGCTTGTAAGGCGAATGTGCGCGGCGTTGGGGCGAGATTCACATGTTGAAAACGACCCCCCCCCTCCATCCCTGAAGCGGTTGCAAACGTTTGAAGAAAATGCATGCGGCGCTCAGGCGAGAACCACATGTTGAAAACAACCCGTGGCCATCCGTGAAGCCGATGCGCGTTGTTTCAACAAATGTGCGCGGCGCTAGGGCGAGAGCAAACGGCTTGTTCTCCACCCCTGAGTTGTTGCACATTTCAAGTCTCAGGGTCATCAACGGTCTGGGGTCTAAAGCGAAACGCACGGCGCGCCATACCGACACGTATGGGGGTGCAACGGGGAGGAGCTACTTATCAGGGAAATGGATGGAGGAAGAGGAGGGGGAGGAAGCGGAAGAGGAGAAGGGGGACGGATGCTGGGGGGCGGGGATGGGGAGGGGGGAGGGAGGAGCAAGACCAGGATGGTGAGGGTGAGGAAGACGATGGTGATATTGACGAGGAGGTCGGAAGCGGGAGGAGCAGCAGCAGCAGCAGCAAGAGCAGCAGGAATAAGGAAGCGGGAGGCGGAGGCGGAGGCGGAGGACGACGACGAGCAGGAGCGCTCGAGGCAGGAGCAGTGCCCGGCAGGAGGCGGCGGACGACCCTCGGTGGGGCCGCGGGCGACCCCCCCCGGCGGAGGAGTACTCCAGGAGCTCGTGCCCCGCGAGCACCCGGTGCACATGCACTGCTACGGCGACTCCCTGGCCTTCGCGCGCGAGCTCTGCGAGGGGTGGCCCAACCTGCGCCTGGGGTTCACAGGAGACCCGCCCCGCCGGCCCCTGCGGGCGCGGGGCGCCCGGGGCGCCCCCGGGGGAGGAGCAGCCTCCGAGGCCCCTGCCGCTCGCCTCCCTGCTCCCTCTGTAGCTCTCCAGCTCCTCGTGTGCCCAGCCTGCGCCTCGGGCTCACGAGAGGCACCGACGTCGTCGTCGTCGTCGTCGTCGTCGTCGTCGTCGTCGGAGGAGGAGGAGGAGGAGGAGGAGGAGGAGGAGGAGGAGGAGGAGGAGGAGGAGGAGCAGGTGGAGGAGGAGGAGGAGGAGGAGGAGGAGGAGCAGGTGGAGGAGGAGGAGGAGCAGGAGCAGGAGCAGGAGCAGGAGGAGCAGGAGGAGGGGGTGGAGGAGGAGAAAGAAGTCTCTCCAGCGTTCCTGGAGATTCTCGGCGCCACGGTCGGGCGCAGCTTGAAGAGCTATCTCCATGACGGGCCCTGGGAGAATCTGGGGGTCTTGCTTCGCGCTGCCCCCCTGCGCAGCCTCCTTCTCTTGCGATCTGGCCCCTCCCGCTCCTTCTCCTTCTCCCGCTCGTGCTGCACCCTTTTTCTGATCCTGTTCCTCCTGCCGCTGGGAGGAGGTCGACGAGGGCGACGACGAAAGCAGCGAGCAGGAGAGAATGATGACAACCATGAAACACATGCGTAGCAACATGATGAGGGGGATGAGAGGGGAGCAGAGGGAAAACACTAAAAGGGGAGTGAGGATGATGATGATGATGATGATGATGATGATGATGATGATGATGATGATGATGATGACGATGATGATGGATGATGGATGATGGATGATGGATGATGGATGATGGATGATGGATGATGGATGATGGATGATGATGATGATGCTGATGATGGTGATGATGATGATGATGATGATGATGATGATGATGATGATGATGATGATGATGATGATGATGGATGATGGATGATGATGATGATGATGATGATGATGATGATGATGATGATGATGATGATGATGATGATGATGATGATGATGATGATGATGATGATGCTGATGATGCTGCTGCTGATGATGATGATGATGAGGAGGAGGAGGAGGAGGAGGAGGAGGAGGAAGGGGAGGAAACGGATGATTAGGAGGAAGAGGGGTACGAGGAGGAGGAGGAAAGAGCGAGGGGAATGAGCTCAGAGCGGGAATCGAGTAGGGGGAGGAGGAGCAGGAGGCTGCAGGCACAACCTCCCCAGCTCCGCGGGCGGTTTCCCTGCGCCGCCAGGGGCCATCACCTTCAAGGATCGCCCCGGCAAGGGCAAGAGCAAGGGCCGGTCGGCGTCGGGCGTGGTGGAGGAGAAGGGCGAGGCCCTCTTTCCCAGTGCTCCCGCTCCCGCCCCCAGAGGTCGACGCCTGCGCCAGTTCGCAAGGCAGAAGGCCTTTGGGGGCTTGAGCCAGGTCAGGCTTCAGCGATCTCGGTGGTCGGGAAAGCCGCGATCGTTCGAGGATGAATTGCCGACGCGGTGGGGAGAGCCAGCAGGCAAGTCGCCACCGCACTGCCGTGCCCATGCCTCCATCCGTCCGCTGGGGCACGAAGCCCCAGTCATGATTGATTCTGGACGTCGTGCTTTCTTGCGACGCCGCGTGTCTAGGGCCCCTGCTGGGCAGGGTGGTTTCTCAAGCATCGTGATTTACTTCTCCGCCCTCGCATGTCTGCTCCTTCACCCTCGAGGCAACGGGATGAGGACCAGGAGGAGGGAGAGGATAAGGATGAGCCGGAGGATGAGAAGGAAGATGATTGTGATGAGGTGGATGCTCTGGATGTTGGATTGAGGGGGACGAGGGAGATGAGGATGATTACGACGAGGAGGACAAGTGGAGCATGAGGAGGAGGAGGAGGAGGAGAGGAGAGGAGGAGGAGGAGGAGGAGGAGGAGGAGGAGGAGGAGGAGGAGGAGAGACGAGAGCGGGGAGGGAGACGGAGGAGGAGAGGAAGGAAAGGCCGAGAGGGAGGAGAGTTTGCCCGAGGTGGCCTCTGGACGCGCGCCTTGCCTGGCAACCGCATCAGGGGGCGCGCACGAGGGGGTCCGGGGGCCTGCCTTCGGGCTGGCCCTGGCCAGAAAGGGTCCGTGCCAGGGCGGGTGCCAGCAAAGCCAGACCTCCAACGTCTTGAAAGAAGTCACGGCGGAGTTCGGTTCGCCGTTTTCGAGCTCTGGGGGCCGTCGCCGGGCCCCGGGGCCCTCGGAGTCGGCTCGGGATGAGAAGCTGGCCCTGGAGAAAGGGTCGGGGGCCTCTGGGGACCCGGCAGTGTCAACGGTCGGCGCACTGGATCTCTGTGGCCGTACAGTCGGGTCCGTGGCCGTGTCGCCCCAGGCTCGGCCCTGCAGGGCGCGTCGCCGCGGGCTGCCCAGCGGCTGCGCTCGCGACAGGCATGGGCGAGCGCCAGCCATGGCCAAGCGCGGGCGCGGCGAGGAGGGCGGGGCGCGGGCGGGCGCAGCGCTGCGCGCGCCCTCGGAGGACCTCGGGGCGCTCCAGCGGCACGCGCGGCGCTTCGGGCGCTGCGCAGACGCGGCCAGGACCGTGCGGCGCTACGAGCGCGCCCTGAGGGCCTGCGGCGACGAGGAGCTCCAGCGCCTCGCCTCCCACGTGGCGGCCTGGGTGGCCTGCTCGCGGCCGCGGGACGCCGGGGCGCTGGTCGCCGCCGCGGAGCTCCTGCTGCGGCTGCTGCCACGGCTCGCGGGAGCCCGGTGCCCGCGGCTCGCGCGCGGGCTGGGGGCCCTCGAGGCCCGCCTGCAGGACGCCGGGCGCCCGGCCGCGGGCGACGCCGTGTGGGGCGGCCTGCGCGAGGCGCTGCGGGCCCACCGCGCTGCGGCCCGCGGCGCCCCGCCGAGCGCCCAGCGGGGGAGCACCGCGCGGAGCGGCGCGCCCGCGGGGAGCCTGGCGGTGCGCCCGCGCCTGGCGGTGCACCCGCGGCGGCTGGGCACCGCGCCCGGCGTCCGAGCCCGCATCTTGCAGCCGCCCTGGAGCGCGGGCAAGGCCGACGGCAAGAAGTGGTTCGAGTGCGTCGTGGCGAGGTCCAGCGTGAGGGTGAGGGGGATGGACGTGTCCCACCCACCCGTGCCCCAAGACATCTTGATTTCAAATCGACGGCGATATCGATGACGAAGACGACGATATTGATCTCAAAACGACGACGACGACAAAGTCGCGCAAGGGAAGCCGTTGCGACCCCAGTGCAAAGGCGGGGTGTCCTCGGGCTCCTCGTCGTCGTCTGCAGCCTCCCGGGGCCCTGCCCGGGCCTGGGGGCGTCGAGCCTCGGCTCGGCGCAGAAAGCTGATCCCAGGGGAGACAGGGCCGTCAAACACTGGGCTCGAGGCAGAGAGCTGGTCCTGGGGGAAAGGATGGGTGGCCTTAGGGGGGGTGGCGTGGGGTCCAGGGCCCGTGTCCTTCCGGGCCCCTCTCCTTCACGGCAACGAGGGGCACGATGCGCATGAACCCGCTGAAGTCGTTCCAGGACGGGCACATGGTGGTGTTCGGGGAGGCGGGGACAAGGATGGTCGACGGCGTCGCGGTTGTGGAGGGGAAGCCACGCACGCAGTGCAAGGATAGGTCGATTTTGAAGAGGATGCTGCTCATGGGCGACAGCGCAGCTGCATTGCTGGACGAGTACCTGGACACAGGGCAATCATTCCATACACACCGCTTCGCGGTGGGCGCGGCCAGGCAGGCGTTCCATCTGCTCATCCTCCTCCTACGCCTCCTTTTCCCCTCGCTATCTCCTTCCCCGTCCTTCTTCCTCTGCCTCTGTAATTAACTCTTCCTCCGTGTGTTTCCCCCTTCCCCCTCGTCTCCCATTCCTCTTCCTTCTCCGCCTCTGCCTTCGGGCTGTCTTTGGGGCCTCTCTGGCTCTCGGGGCGCTCTTCAAGCCCAGGGAGTCCATGGAGCTCCCGTGTCCGCCTGGCACACGTTGGGGGTGGTGAGGCAGGGGGAGGCCACGCCGTTGCCCCGACGGGTCGGCGAACTTCCTCGCGTTCCGCTGCGTCTACGACCTGCGCCGCCTGGCGCTTTCGTGGGCCAATCTCTGCGACCAGGTGGGCTGCCGCCTGCCAGGCCAGTGGTGCGGCTTCCCGGGGCTCGCCGGCGCGGGGTCCCTCGGCGCCCTGCGGACGTTCCTGGAGCAGCGGCCGGGGATCGTTCTGCACACGAGGCCGTCGCAGCAGCCCCGATCCGGCGGCACGGGCGCGGCCCCCGTGGCAGCCCGCGTGCTGCCGCCAGCCCCCGGGGCACGCGCGGCAGGGGCTCAGGCGCTGGAGGCAGGCCACGGGGTGGCAGAGCGAGAGGCGGTGGCCCGTGGCGAGTGCTCGGCGGCGGCCGCGGAGCCCATGCGGGTGACGGCGCTCTTCGTCGACGGCCTCGAGAGGCGCCTGCAGGCCGCCAGGGCGGCGGTGGCCTCGCCGGGAGCTGGCCCGGGGCCGCCCGCCGCCGCTCTGAGGCAGCTGCGGCGTGCGCTGCGCGACGCCGCGGGCGCACTGGCGGACCCTCTCGCGCGGTCTGCGCAGGGTGCCAGCGGCGGCGGCGTCGCAGGGGGGTCCAGCCACGGTTGCGGCAGGGACGACCCCCCAGCCATACAGCAGAGGCTCCGCGCTTGCTTGATTGTGGCTCTGCAGGTCTGGAGGGAGGAGCTCTGGCTAGAGGACGACCAGATCGAGCCACAACTCACGCGGCTTCGTGCTCTCATCAGCTGCTTCGAGGCGCAGTGCGGGTCGCTGGACGCAGCAGGGGCCAAGGGGCACTGGAAGCGCTTGAAATTGTTGGCTGGCACCATCGGCGAGGGCTCCGGCATGGCCACCGCTGCCGAGGCGCAGCGCCAGGGATGTCGGAGATGCGCCTCGGAGAAGTGAGCAAGCTGCGCGACAGTGGCCAAGGTGATGAGAGAGGCCGCTCTGCGCGTGTGCCAAGCCTCTGGCGTGTGATCCTGGTTTGTTCCCAGCGGACTTCATTCACAGCCCGCAGCACACAACTTGTTCAGCCTGCTGCCCTTGCAGCTCAGGCGTGTTGCCTGACGTCTTCGGCGTTTCGCGTTCAGCTGCTGGCTTGCGTGAGGCGGACTGGGATGCGCTCGCCCCCTGAATGGCAGGCCGATTCGGTGCTCGTTATTCAAGGGGGCGCTCTTTGCAGAGGAGAGGAAGGCTTGTAGTGACTTTTCTTAGGAGGGGGTTTGGGACAGTAGGGTGTGCAGCAACATCGTCGACACATCTTGGGTTTACTCTGGTTCTCCTCCTCGTCCGCCTTCCCCTTTGCGTTTCAGCATTCACTCCTTCAGTCGCCTCCGCGCAACTGGCAGCCTTTTCGGAGGGCGGGTCGTAGCAGCATCCCAGACGAATCTCAGATACTCGAGTTGTTTCTGTCTGTTTGGGAACAGCCCGCTGGAACAGAACAGCTTCTGTCATTCGCTCCTCTGGCCGCCATGTCAGCGGCGGGCATCAAAAGCGGCGTGTGCTTATCTTTGGTTATCGGGTTTGTCGTCTGCTGTTTGGGGGATGTGGGCACTGTAGCCGGAAGTGGCTCAAATCGGCAGGCGCGGTCATTTGTGCAGGATTGCACCGCGGTCGACGAAATGTCCCGTCGTCCTTCGCCTCTCTCCTTTCTCAATAGAAGTAAATCTTCCGAGGGACAGGGTTACACGGAGGGTTCTTGCCGTATTCGGCCTCTCGGGGCTTTCCCCGGGCCCTAGGGCCGCCCCAGGAAGAGTCAGCATGAAAAGCCGATCCTGGGGGAAAGCAGTTGGGCCCAGGACCCCGTTCGTCCAGGATCCGTTTCCATCGTGGCAATTTCTGTCTTCCCTCTCCTGCTCGCTTCAGCCTCTTCCCGAAGCGGGCATGGGAAATTGGCCCCTCAGCGTGCGCTCGCAGAGAGAAGAATCCAGTTCATCATCTCTGCATTTCAATCATCGAGGCCGTTGTGAAAGCATCGTCTATGCCTCCAGATGGCTGCATTGAACGATGTGGGTAGTGGCAACAGCCCTTGCGAGTCGCAGTCACGTGACAATTTCGGAAACGCCCTCTTGGAAGAAGAATTCTGCGTCTTTGCTTCCAGCTGGCGAGAGCAGCCAGAGCGTGTTGCAGGCAAGTGGGTAGAGGTCACCAGAAGAGGCTCGAAGATCATCACTTTTCTCGCTTTGCAGTTAGGAGATAAGCCCGTTTCGCGCGGAACACCGCGCGGGGTTGCACAGGTGACTCAGCTGAGTCTTTTGCTGGCTGCAGTGGGCGACGACAGGACAGCGCTGGCAGATTTATCGTTTCTTGCTTCTCCGGCGGCCCACCATGGGCGAGCTTCACACTAGGCATGGTCGTCGCGGCTTCTGGCAGCCAATCGCGAGCCGATTGGCCGAACAGAAAGCATCAAAACGCCTGGGGTCTGCCCGGCGGGGCTTCGCTCGCTCCTCCGTCTTGATCTCCGTATCGGCCACTGTGGAAATCAAATCTGCGCTGGAACGCCCCCCCCTCCTTTCCTGGCCCCCTCCCTCTCTTCACGTCCTGGTCCAGGCCCATCTCCGTGCCCCGCTTCCTGTTGTGCCGTTCCTGGACCTCCGTCTGGCCTTCAAGCCCTCGGGTTGGTGGCCTCTCCGAGTCTCTGGAGATGGATCTCACCGAAGAATTGCAAACCTCGAAAGGCTTTGCCCTGCGTCGATATGGACCGGTATGTTCTGCGTTGCGCGAGGACGGCATCGGGCAGATCTGATTGTTGGCGCCTGAGGCGCTGCTTGCAGCCCGGCACATGTACAAGATATCAAGTTTCTTGGACGAGGGTTTGTGCCCTCTGTCAAAATGAAGGGCGGGACCCTGGGCAGGAGCATACCGTCCACTAGACATGAAGACGAGGCAGCGTTTTGACCGACGCGCGGCCGACATATAGCGTGGCTAAGTGGAGGTTGACCCTACGCAGGTTGACAGCATGACAGTGCTGGACATTTGTTTTCGAGGTGCAAGCTTGCCTTGGGATGTGATGGTTTTGCGGTCCGCGCACTGAAAGGGAGAAGAGCCTGCCAGCCATCCCTACGAAGTTCGACAGCGCAGGGGATCTCTTTCTTGATGGTATTTGCGATCCCCTCACCAGGCCGTTTGTCGCCAGCTCCGTCGGATTTTCTGTTCGCGCTCAGCATGCTCGCTTCCCTGGCCCATGGCCGGCTTATTGTCAGAAGGTGCTTGCATCTCCATGCCCCATGGTCAAAGTGTAGTTGCCGTGAGGGAAAACGAGAGAAAACAAGAGGCGGAGAGGGCGGAGCAGCGAGAGGGGAGGGCGAGGATCAGGATGATCAGGCGGAGGCGGAGGGGGGGAGCAGTAGGAGGAGAAGGAAGAGGAGGACGAGAAGGCCGAGAGGGGATTGGGAAACTGCGTCGAAGATCGGGGGCTGCGTCAAGCGGCAGCAGTGCAGGCGCACTGCCGGGAGCTCGTGCAGGGCTTGCCGCTGGAGCGGCTCCTGATCGAGACGGACGGGCCGTACATGTGCCCCTGGCCAAGGGAGGCGCTGATCTGTTGACGGGGGCTCGCTCGGACCGCTGATCTGGCCAGCCCGTCGATCGCCCGGCATCGCCGGGCCGTGGATCGGCAGGGTGCTCCGCGCTATAGGCCGCAGCGGGCCAGCAGGGTCAGGATCAGGGTCAGGCCGTGCTCCATCCCAGATCGGGGCGGTGCTTCTCAGGCCCTGAGCCGTTCCGTGGGCAAACAGCGCATCCAGGCGTGCCCAGTTTTGGGGTCGTCGCTGATGGGGAATGCCCGCACTGCCGCAGCGCGAAGAGCAAGAGAACACGAGGAAGCGGAATGGAAGCAGCAGAGCGTTCAGGTCGAGTAGTGATAAACCAGTTGACGCCGTCCAAAAATCATGCCACCGCCGCGCCCAGACGAGGATGAGGGGAGTAGGGGGACGCGGAGGACGATGAGGACAGATTGTGCGAGGATGATGATGATGAGGAGGAGGAGGAGGACAAGGAGGAGGAGGAGAAGGAGGAGGAAGATAACGAGGAAGACCATCCTAACACAACTCTATATACGCGTCAATACGTAGCCATTTTGGCTCAAGCCTTTTTGGCTCAAGGCTCAAACCTTCACCCTGGGGTTTGGGCACTCGCAGAATTCGCGTGCAGTCATGGGAGACGCTGCGCCAGGTTGGTTCGCTGCCTTTGTGACTGGGCAGTTGGCCGCGTTTGCGAAGAACGTGGACGACACCAGTAAGTCGATCACTCGCCAGGTGAAGCAGATCGACGGGCTCCTCGCGGCGCTGGAAGTCACGGTGCAGGAGCGTCAGGCCAAGCAGCTCGGCACGGAGAAGCACTGGGAGGAGCTGCGTCAGTCGCAGCCAGTTTCTCTACGGCTGCGGGTTGGCGGTACGTTGGGTTCGCTCGACGCGCAGAGAACAGATATTGGGCGCTTTGGGATTTCAGGTTGCCCTCGTGCTGTGCTGGAGGTGGCGCGTCGGGCGACGTAGGACCATCTTGCTGGTAAGTGTCCTTCTCATTTGCTGGCGGGTGCCACGGCGAAGATCTCGAAGACCAGCCAGAGCTTCTGGGTACACTCCACTCCTCAGGAGCTGGCCACGGATTTCAAGAATTGGTTCCTTGCGCAGGAGGTACAGTGGACAGACGCCAGGGACCAAAAGGTCCACAACCTGCGGATTCGTGCTGATCTACCTGATGATGTTCGTGTGCGCCAGCGCTTCAAGCCTAAGTTGTGGACGTATACGGTACAACATTTTCGCGACCAGAAGCTCTTCGACGACTCGACGAAGATCGGCGCCAACGGGTTTCGCAACGAGGTCTTCATTCGCACGGAGACTGACCACTTCGTGTTGGCCAAGGGCGAGACGGACGCCCTGGGGAGGGCACAGCCTTCGCCGCATGAGCCCGACCTCGCGTTCTGGAAAATCTCCGTTGGCACGGTGCAGATCTGGGTCGCGGAGCGCAACTGCCGCGCTTGAGAGTCTCTCCCGCCAGCTACGCCGACTACTGTGTGCTCGGAGTTCGCTCCTGGCGGGGGTCTTCCTGCTCGACAGTTTCGTTTGTGCGATGATCGGGGCCTCGCACCTTCCCGTCGAGTTCAGCAGCGCGCAACTTCTTCGGCGCATTCGATTGCGCCAACAGATTCGACACACAGCAGCGATACATCTTCCTCTACGACCTCCTCGGACTCCTCGTCTGATTATGAGCCTGATGCCCAGCCTTTTGTTTCTTCTGTTGCGCCGCCTCTTCAGTCCTCTGCTCCCAGCTGGCCTCCTGGATCCGCAGTGCATCAGCAACCTTTGCCCCCTTCCTCCCCCCTCTCTGCCGTCGCGTGGAATGCTCGTGGCCTGTTTGCAGCGGTTCGTACTCGGCGGCAGAAGAATGCCGCCGCTCGCCCTCGCGCATTCAGACGGCCATGTCGGACATTGCAGAGCGCGTGTGCCCGGGACACGCGGCGCGTTTGCCGACGTTCAGTTTTTACAGGGCGAGCTTCGAGGGCCACGGGTCGGAGGCATTATGTTTCATGATATGGTGCGCGCGGGTGGGGCACTTGCGTACCTGGCTTCCGAGTTCGTTGCTCAATTCGATAGTGTGACCCGTCATGTTGCCCAAGAAAGGCGCGCGCTGCTCGGTTTTTTTGTTGGGGCCCCAAGAGGGCTTAGCGACCATGAATGTCCACATGCCGAGTGCAGGCGAATCCCTCGGCAGATACGAGCAATCGTTGATAGACAGACTAGAAGCCCAGCCGCCTGCGAAACAGCGTTGTTCGAACGCCCTGGGGGGTTGGAACTTTACTCTTGAGGATGAAGGAGGAATGGCTGCGGATGGGAGTGGGTGGACTCATGGCGATGCTCGGTTTCATGCGGTCTTTGATAGGCCCTGGGGGCACAGGCTTGAGTTTTTTCAGGCTGAAGATGCGCGACGCGAGCTCCTTGATGGTAATGATTCATTCGTCGCGGGCTGCCAGGCTTTCCTCGTCTCCCCCCGCTGCCATCATCGCCGATCTCACCATTCAAACATCTGTTGTTGGGAAGCTGCGGTTCCTTCTCGTTTGGGACGCATGCCCGTTCTTGTGCAGATTACTACGTATCGCCCGGCGTCTAACGAGGCCCCCGCGATCCCGAATTGGTTGAGTATCAAGAGACGCTAGAGCGCATCCTTACGGAGCGCGCGGACGAGCTCGGCCGCCGGCCCGCGGCGCCTGCCCCCGCGCAGGTCAAGCAGCTCATGCGCGATATTGCCCCTGGTGTTCGCAGGAAATTTGCTGAGCGCGTTGCCGAGAAGGAACCCGAGCACCGCCATTGGTGCGTGGTCGCTCTGCGTGGTCTCCAAGCGCAGCAAGACCACCTCGTTCGCCGCGCCCTTGCTGCTCGCCCGCCGCTGCAACAATTCTCTGACCTCGAGGCGATGGCGCGCGCCGACCTCCAGGGCATCTGTCGCCGCGCCGAAGAGATTCATTTCAGCCCATTGACTGAGGAGGAGGAGTTGACGAATGACCAGCAGATCAAGGACGATGCCCAAATGGACGCCGTGAGGGAGTTGCGAAGGAGGCAGGGGCTCTGGAGGAAGTTTAAGCGACGCGCGTTGCTCTCTGCCGTGCTTGACGACCACGGCCGCCCGCGTCCATCGCTGGAGGCGTCGGCTGCTTGCCTGGCGAATTGCCGGGGGAGGGCATTCTCGGGCGTTCCCGCGGATCGTGCTCGCTGGAAGGAGATTCCGACTCACGTTCGCACTGTCTTTGGGGGCCGACGCGCTGATGATGGCGAAGCGATTGTTTGGGAGGTTGCTTATCCTGAGTCTGTGCCAGTTTATTCGCCCGCGTCGCATCTCGATGCCGGGGCCTGATGGGATTCCGCGCTGGAGCCGGCGTGCCGGGGGCGCTCTGTGATATTTTTGCAGCGTTTATCTTGCGGTGTTGCCCGGCGCTCTCACTGCGCTGCCCGGTGGCGAGGGGGAAGTGCCGATGGTCTTCTCGCCGAAAAGGAGGACGCGGCGGGGATTTTGCAGAGAACATTGTTCAGGATTGCGCTTGCACTCGCCCCTTGTCCATGGCCAACGCAGACGCCAAGCTCCTCTCTAGCATGTGTTGTATGCCGCTTAATCAGCTTTCACGCGACACCGTTGCTCCTTTGCAGAAGCGCGTCAAGAGTAGGCAGATGCCGACTAATGTGGTTCGTTCAGGCGGAGGGATGGGGGCATCAGCAGAATTTGGTTGGACATGATCGTGCTGCGATCCTTGCTGCTACTTTCGCGGTTGCGTTTCCTTCTATTTTCCATTATTGGCACACTGTGCTCGCTGCTATGGGCATTCCGTGGTTCATCCTGAACTTCTATCGCATGTTGCATGAGAATAACCGTGGCCGCGTTACTCTTGGTGGCAGATGGTTTGAGGGTTTCTCGTAAAGTCGCGGGGTCAGGCAAGGCGACCCAAGTTTGATGGCGCTGTTTGTTCTATGTCTCGGTCCTGTTACCCCTCGGATGCAATCTACCCTTCCTCGTCAGCTCTCTCCGTGCCTTGCCCATGCTGACGGCTGCCTCTTTGGCATGGTGGATGTAATCGAATATCTGCCTGCAGCGCGGCGTGTGCTCCCGTTGCTCGATGGAGCCATTGGGTTGGCGCTCAACGTCGGCAAGTGCAGCCCCTTGCTTTGTGGGAAGGGATAATGAAGAGGGTCATGCAGTTTTTGAGTCAGGAGGCAGGGGGATTGGAGCTGATCAAGGTTTGCACTGATATGAAGTACCTCGACCTTTATATCGGGCCAACTGCTGCTGGGAAGGCCTGGCAATTGCTCTTGAGATCTCAGCTTCGCGCGCTGTCGCCTGGTTATGCCGCTACGATTGCCACGTTGAAAATCATGTGCCTCAGTGTACTGCAGCTTGTGATGCTGATATTGCCTCTCTCACCGTTTGTTACAATGACATATAAACATATGCTCCAGAGATTTACGCGTCGTCCGTATAATATGTTTGTTTCGAAGACGAAGCTCGGGTTCCCGATTGAGAATCTGGACATCATTGCCCTCTTTATTGCTTGCCGTGTACGTTTTGCCACGGGAGACTGTTGGTGTGAGCTTGAACGTGTCGTTGATCGCGTGGCTGTTTGTTATGCTCGTGTTGTGGATCCGCAAGGGTGGTACCAACAGTCGTTTCCGACGGCGCAACTGAACCGCGGCATCGTTGACGCTGCCACCATTAAGCCTGAAGCATTCCAGCGTAAACTTCCCCAATCAGAGCTTGCCTCTGTAGGGGTCCTAGCGGATTCATATGGTTAGGTTAGGTTTGCCGCCGATTTTCGCTGCGCGCCTGGGTGCCCCGGGGTGCCCGGGTGCCCGAGTGCCCGGGTGCCCGGGTGCCCTGGTGCCCCAGGGGTGCCCGGGGGTGCTCGGGGGTGCCCGGGTGCCCGGGTGCCCGGGTGCCCGGGCGTGCCCGGGGGTGCCCAGGGGTGCCCGGGGGTGCCGCATAGCCCAATAACCCAATAGCCTTACAACTCTAGCCCTATAGCTCTATAGCTCTATAGCTCAATAGCCCTAGGTTGGGGCTTTTCTCCGGTATCATTTATTATCATATTCATCCCTCTCGCTCACTGGGCCGTCTGTGCTTGGGGGACTTCTGTTTCGTTTACGGAACTGGCTGCCCGAGATTCCTCGGATTGACCCCCTCTCATCTCGTCCTCAATAACCGTCGCAATTATATGTTTGCGTCTCCGCATCTTGCTATGGGCGTTTTTCGTATGTGTACTCGTGAGGTTTGTACCCGTGCTCGCTTCCTTTCAGCTCCTCGTGGTTGTATATTTGGGTGTGTTTGCGTTGCGTATGGGCTTGATATGTCCAGAGATTATGATGATCTTCGTCACTACAAGTTATACCATCGCTTTTGCAAGATGTGTGTCAGATGTATGGGTGCATTGTTCCCGATCGCTCCTGTGATGATACCATGGATTTCAACCGTTATCCTCCTCTATCCTTTCCCGCCTGATGCGTCGCTGCTGTCTGCCTGCGTGTGCGATGCTTGTTTCACACGCGCATCACGCCGTTCGTCTTCGCTTCTGATGTCGTGAAAGTTTTGAAGCGCGGCTGCGAGTGCTCATTCGGCGCTACCCTGCTGTCGCGGCTGCGTGGGGGCCAGTCCAGCGCGGCCCTGGGTAGCTTGTGCCTGGTTAGACGGCTGGCGTCGATGGCTTTTTGTTCGTTGCGCCTGCGCCCGGTTGCTCGCCGAGTGGTTCCGCCGGTGGTGATCATCGCTGGTCGCCGCCACAGGAGGGTGGTGTCACGTCGCCGACCGAGGCCTCCAGAGATCCCATACGTGCCTTCGGAGTATACATATATATATATATAATACGCGTCATCAGTGGTGAAGCACACCATCCCGTCCGAGGTCACTACCCTTGATTTTCTTGCACTTTTCTTTTCCAAGGAGGGAAAGGAAAGTTGGGTCTGCAATTCAGGCGAGGGCCCCGTCTTGAAATAGGAGGCATCGTTCTAGCTATGATGAGCGCGGAACGGTAGGCTCAGAAAGGTTAAGAAAGTATAACCCCACATTAAAATGGTCCGCTCTCCACCCGTGCAAAGGATGGACCAGCGTGCGCGTTATTGTGATGACGTATACGGAAGTCTTGGATTCATTTCGAAAATGAGCAGCACCCCAATTTTGTAGTTGACGCGCAATGATGCACTTCTGCTTATTCACGCGAAATGTCGAACGATACCTCCCTCTTACGAAGGGGCCACCCTTCATCCGTACGTGTACGGCGAACAGCGTTTTGAGCATATTCGACCTGCGCCAAGATGCGAATGGCTTGTTGCAAATGGGGCCACCGCCAACATCCCAGTTGTTGGGGACATTCAGCGTGAGCGCGCGCGGAGCCAAGGCGAGAGCTTTCTTGTGAGCCAGAATCACGCTCCTGGCCGCACTGTTTCCAAACATAGTCTCGCTGTGACATGGAGCTGTCCTTCATCCGTGTGCCTCTTGCACACAGCAACAGTGCCGGGTCATGAGCTTGAGGCAACCCGAGGCGAACGCACATTTTTGAAAGGAACCGTCCTCCTGCCGTGCAGCCGTTGGGAATATTAAGTGGATGGAGGACGCGATGGACGAACAGGGGGGATGAGTTGGAGCAGCAGCAGTGTGAGGTTGAGGAGGGTTCAACGAGGAAGGAATCGGATCCAAGCATGTGTCCCGCGTTGGGGCGAGGGCGCCATTCCGAACGACGGTAGCCATGAGTCAATCTTCAAATGCACCCGACCTTGTAACGGGACCACCGCTTTGAAACTTTGAAGGATTGGGTACGTCACGGTTGGACACGATCACATCTTGGGGAAACATGCGAGTGTTATTCAATCCCTGTGGATGACTACCACTGCGCGGGAGGGCAGGTAAACGTTGTTACGTTGTCAGGCGGGAGAAAGGATTCTTACTTTAAAGGAGTACTTCTGGATGTGGGGGAAGAGGGGGGGCGGGGGGGGGGGCAAACGAGAGAGGGATGGACATGAGAGAGCGGGGCGAGCTGGGGAGGGGAGGGGAGGTGTGTGGCGGGGCAGGTGGGAAACAGTTGCGGAGAGGATTGCCGTGAACAAGGGGAGCCTTTGGGGAAAAGAGTCCTGAGGTATTTGGTCGTTCTCGGCCTCCTGGGAATCTGGCCCCGGCCAGAAAAACCATGCAGGGTGAAGCTCTGACCTTGGGGGAAGCTGGGGGATACAGGACCTGTTTCCCTCCCTCAGGCCCCCCCTCTCGCGAGCCAATAATGGAGGGCGAGGGAAGGGGGCAATAAGGGGGCACCGAGATAGGCATGCGATAGCTTCGGGCGTCCATGCCGAATCGATTGCCGCGGCGGCAGGCCAGAGCACAGAGCCAAACAGGTTGGGGTGCACGGGCAGCCTCGATGAAGTGTTGCGCCCTCGAGCGGATCCCCGTCGCCTCCGGAGGCGCCACTACGGGGCTCCGCAAGAGGGAAGGCGGCGTTTTCCCTCTTGCGGATCCCCGTCGCCTCCGGAGACGCCGAGCGGATCCCTCGAGCGGAGCCCCGGCACCTCCGGAGGTTCTGACCGCGGCAGTGAAGCCCCCCGAGGGAGAGCCACAGGCCGCGTCGCTCACGCCCGCCCGACAGCAGCAGCGCTCGAGCCTCGGCGCGTGGACGCCTCGCCGGCCCACGGACGGCAGCGGACAGCCGACGCGGACGCCTGCACCGCTCGGCGGCACGCGGGCAGCGGCGCCGACGCTCTCGTTTGGGTCGCGGCGGCGCGTCGGCGGAACGTTCTGCGGGAGGAGGCGCGGCGGGCACTCCGCAGGGGCCTCTGCGGGGCAGCGGGTGCCGAGGGGCAGGGGGTCAGGCCCTCGGCAGGGGCAGGACCGGGGGGGGGGCGGGGAGGGGCGGGGGGAGGAGGGGACGGGGGGGGGAGCAAGAGTCCAGACATAGCGAGGCCCGCTCGGGGGGGCCAGGTCCCAAGAGAGAGCGCCACACGACGACGAGGGCGAGAGGGCAGCATCCCGCCTGCGTTGGCAGGCGCGGGCAAGGCTGCAGAACCTGGGCAGGAGTCGATCCAGGTTCAGTGGAGGTTGCGCCAGCAACTTCGCCCCAGAGCACTCGTGACCAACACTAGGGAAGGCAGAGGAGGGGGCGGAAGGAAGGGGCGGAAGGGGGGGGAGGGAAGCAGGTTACGGAGGAGCGGATGCCCCCCCGCCCAAAGGCCACGTGCACCGAGTGGCGGAGAAGATTGCCGAGTGGCAGGGACGCAGCCTTGGGGAGGCTTGCAATGGGCTGAGGAGGAGGACGAGGAGGAGGAGGAGGAGGAAGAGGAGGACCAGTGCAAACCCAAGACCCATGAGCGATGTTGCAATAAAACCTCCCTCCAAGCTCCCTCTTCATAGGCCCCTAGAAGGATTCATTCCCACTGAGGGAAGTGCCCCGTCGGGGGCCAACCGTCAGAAAATCTGGAACCCGCCAGAGCACCATGCTTGGGACATCAACGCCGCGAATCAACCTCACTATTGCGTTTTGACGATCTTGAACCTTGTCCGAACACCATTCCTGAACATCAGCACCGCGAATCAACGTCACTGTTGCGCCTTGACACTTCTAGAGCCCGTTTCTTATTGCTTGGGGCATGACGGGCGTCATGGCCCCCGCCTCCCCCCCCCCCTATGACGTAACGCTCCCCCCCCCCAGTGCGCTCTGGGCACTGCCGCCGTGCGCATTGGGATCCGCGTAGGTGTCCGCGTCGGAATCCGCATAGGTGTCTGGTCCGCAGGCGTCGTCGTCGTCGTCGTCGTCGTCGTCGTCGTCGTCGTCGTCGTCGTCGTCGTCGTCCGTCGTCGTCGCTCGTGGTTCGTCGCTCGTCGCTCATCGTCGTCGTGCGCGCGGACGCGGCTGGAGCCTGTTTTTAAGTCCGGGCCGATGACGGCAATCATCTGGGGGGGGGGGGTCGATGACGTCACGTTTCGCGCCGGCGGCGTCTGGGAATGCTTAGGAATGACGGAGGACGGGTAGCACGAACATGTAGGTGGCGATATGCACCACAACGCCTGTGTACATCACACTGCCCGCGTGCACCACAGCGCCTGTGTACACCACGCCGCCGATGTACACCACAGCAGCTGCGTGCAACACAGCGTCAGTTTGTGCCACCGTGCCTGCGGGCACAGCAACTCTTGTGTACACTACAGCGCTTCCGTACACCACATCAGCCGTGCGCTACACAACACCAGTGTACACCAGAATGGTCGATTCAATCGACCATTCTGCGGTGCACGCTGAGATGCGCACGTGCGTTGTAACGCCAAACCGCACGACAGGGGGTAAGAAGGAGGAAAAAGAGGAGGAGGAGGAGGAGGACGAGGACGAGGAGGAGGAGGAGGAGGAGGAAGAGGAGGAGGAGGAGGAGGAGGTGGAGGTGGAGGAGGAGGGATGAGGGAAAAACGTCGCATTCGATTATCAGAACTTTCTTGGCGTGGCGTTTAGTTGTCCGCAGCAGATCCTGACGTACATGCTCCTTCTATCTGTCCTAGGCACGCAGACACTGTGGTGTACACCAGCGCTGCGTTGCACGCGGATGCTGTGGTGTAGAGGCGCTGTGGCGTGCACAGGCGCTGCGGCGCAAGCAATCACAGTGGTGTACACAGGCGTCGTGTTGCACATGGCTGCTGCGGCGTATGTACACCAGCGCTGTGGTGCTCCCAAGTATTGTGGTATACACGGGCGGTGCGTTGCACACGGCTGTTGCGGTGTACGCAGGCGTTGTGGTGCACACGCGCGGTGTGGTACTCGCGAGCGTTGTGGTGTACACAGGCGCAATTGGCAGATCGCCACCTTACATGCTGCTCGCGTCGTCGTCGTCGTCGCTCGTCGCTCGTCGCTCGTCGCTCGTCGCTCGTCGCGTCGTGCGCGCGGGCGCGGCTGTGGTGCTGGAGCCACACGGCGGGGGGGGGGGCGTCACGTCATACCCCCCCCGCCCTCCCCCCCCCCCACATGACGCCCGTCATCGCCGAACATAAAGAATCGCGCTCCTACACCGCTCCAAAACACCATTTCTGGCAAGCTAGTGAGACTCCGCGAAACTCTTGAAATGTGTTAGGACGAATGCGCGCGGCGCTGAGGCGAGTGCCACACTTCGAAAAGGGACCTCCCTCCATCTGCGAAGCTCTTGCCATTTCTTGAAACGAATGTGCGCGGCGCCCAGGCGAGAGCCACATTCTGGAAGCGGCCCGCCGTCCACGTGTGAAGCCGTTGACAATCGTGCAATTCCAGGGTCATAAATGGAAGTGACGTCTCAGGCAAAACGCCTGGCCCGCCCTTCCAGTCGGGGCTACTTATATGGAAAAAGAATGGGGAAGCAGGCGGCCCTCATCCTGTTCCTTCACCTCTTCCTCCTCATCTTCCTCACTCGGTGGCTTCCTCTCAAGATGCTGGCGTCCTGGGGGCACCGAGCGGATGCAGCTGGTCCGCGGCTCGTTCTCGTGCTTCTCCTGCTCACCTTTTCGGCTGTGCAGGATGCCAATCTCCCTGGCTTTCCCTCCTTTGATCAGATTGGGAACGTTTCCTGCAACGGCACGCCCCGCGCTCTTGTCTGATGGTGGTCTTTGCAGTGTCGTCGTGCGCGCGGGATCGTAGCTTTGGCTCACAAACAAGACGCCTGATGCGGCCCGTCGCAAAAAGAAGGTCAGCTCGAGGAAGTGGTCTCCCTCCCCCGGATGAGGTCCTTCGAGGCCGTGTTGCTCCTGGGGATGATGACGACGCGCCCTTACGTTCTGACCGAGCGCTAGATGATTGGCACGACAACCAAGTCAAGGAATTGGTCCGCGCCCACATCCGTGAGACGCTCGGCAAGTTCAAGGAATGACGTGAAGATAATTCGAGCTGGGCGACATTGAGAAACGCTCGCATAAGCAAATGGACCACTTCGGCCACGAGTTGGATGACCACGTTGCCAAGCTCCAGAAGCATTTGTGACGTGCTCCTCGACCTCCAGCCCCGGATGCAGGAGATTCGGAAGGAACTGGCGTTCGCCCATCGTGCTCCTCCACCGAATCAGCTCTCAGAACTAGGGATGGCTGGGTCGGGCTTCTCGTGCCCTCAGCGGAGGGCCCCTCTACGCAACTTCACGTTGGACTAGACAAGTCATCCTTCCAGATTAGCTAGGAAATCCATGGCAGGAAGTGCGCTCCAAGGCTTCGAGCAGAGTGCTACAGCAAAAGGGCCTTCGATCGCAGCTACAGCTGGCTGCCTGCGCTCTTCTCAGGTTGGCCCCTGTGCCGGCAGAGAGCCTGCGGTGGTTGATTGGAATGACAAGGGCCTGGCAGACAAGCACCTTTCCAGGCGACAGACGTTGCAGCAAATCGAGCCTACCATCTCCCCCGATGTCCAGCCTGACTAGCGCTTTTGACAACTCCTCTCTCCTCCAGAACGGCAACGCGATGTGTTCGCGGCGGGCCAGGGGCCTTGCAACTTCAGCTCGCCAATGTTGGCTTCTGGCACGCGGAACGCTCGAGCCCTGCTCAGATGGCCCGGCGCCGTGGCGCTGGGGAAAGAGGACTGCCTTCGGCAATGCGACTTGAGTCGCGCGTTCATGGCCATCCAGGAGGCGCGCCAAACGCGGGACCAGATCATGGTTGTCTTTCAGCGGGTTGTTTATTTTAGCTTCAAGGATACTGAAGCATGTTGACTGGGCACTCCCGCGCAACAGAGCTGGGATGGGGCTACGATTCTGCTGTTTTTCTACGCTCGCCAGCGGGCGGGTTCTCAAGGTCACTGTCCACACCGACAACGCCAAGCTGCGCCATTACAACACTGACAACCATGACCCGTCCGCCAAGCAGGGGTCGAACCTCCTTCGTATTCTACGACGAGATATCGGGTGGGCTAGTCAGGGCCCGCGCAGTCGGCTCCTGGTCTTGGCAGGCGACATGGGCTTCGCATCCAGAAGCAAGCTTGATTTCCTCCAACCGCAAAGCAGGAGCTCGCTCAGCAAGCACAACAACTCCCGCAGCCACGCCAACAGGTGGAAGGAGCTTCTAGACACGTTTGCAGGGTTTCGGCTGGCGACCCAAACGCGCTTCCGGAAGGGCACGGGCAAGTTATCTTCGCTTGATCGGGCCTGGACGGCTACGCCCGCGCGAACGATGCGCCAGTTTCCCCACGGTGGCGCAGTTGTTGGCGCCGCGAGCACCGACGCGGCAAGGGGATCTCAGATCTCTGACCATGACGCGGACAGAAACATTACCTCCTCCTCCCTCCTCCTCCTCCTCCTCCTCCTCCTCCTCCTCCTCCTCCTCCTCCTCCTCCTCCTCCTCCCTCGTCCTCCTCCTCCTCCTCCTCCTCCTCCTCCAACCCGGCAAACCAAAAAGAAGGACCTAGTCTCCCCGCCCGCAGCGCACAACAGGCCCGATCTCGCAGCGCTCTCGGAGCGCCCCGCTGCGAGTGAAGCCGAAGAGCTCGCACGCAAATCACCTTCACTACACCTCCCCCGATGCATCAAGCCCACCAGTCAGGACGCCCACATCGCCATGAAGAAAATTCTCGCAGTGAATGTCCGATCCCAGCTGGCGAGCATAAGGCAAGCGGCTCGGGCGGCGCGGGGGAACGATGCCACGCGGACGGCGCGCATATTTTCTGCTTCGTCAGAGGCAACGTATTGTTTTAGTACTTCGGGTGGGAAGGTGAAGGCCACGGGTCGCAGAATCTCCTGGGGTTGGACGGAAAGGACACACCCTCACGCAGTTGAAAAGGCGTGCGGAGGGGAGGGAGTGGAGGAGGATGAGGATGGATGGGAGGGTGGAGGGGGGGGCGAAGGAGGATGAGGATGGAGGGCGAGGTGGGGAGTAGGCGCCTCCCCCCCAGACCTCCGACACTCTCTTCTCTTCATGTCGCGTATACCTCCTGGAAGTCTGGGCCGCTTCCCTGAGACCGCCGTTCATCTTGAGCCTCGGGTGGGCGGTCTTGGGGGATGACCTGCATTGGGGGTGAAGGGTTGGGCCTGCGTTTCTTGTTCCCCCGCGCACGTCACCCCCCCATGACCACCCACGCGAGCGCCGTTTTTTGGACGACCTCTGGAGGCCCGGAGAGGGCCCCCGGAGGCCGAACCTAGCCACGCGGTTCCCCTCGCGGTGCCGGCTCGCGGCGGGAGGCGGCGCGCGCCCGCCCCCTGCAGGTGATGGACGCCACGCGGCGGAGCACCGCCGCCGTGTACGGCGTGTGAGCTCGCCCCCGGGCGCGGGCGCCCGCGGCGCGGCGGCGTCGACGCGGGGCGGCGATCGCCCCCCAGCGCGCGCTGCCAGACCGCGACGGCGGCCACGACGAGGAGGGACGACGACAGAGGCGACGACGCCGAGGACGCGGCTGGCTCTACCTGGGGAGTCGGCTTATGGTGTCTCTTCAGTCTGTCCCCGTCTCCCTTTGCTCCTCCTCCTCCTCCTCCTCCTCCTCCTCCTCCTCCTCCTCCTCCTCCTCCTCCTCCTCCTCCTCCTCCTCCTCTTACTCATACCTCTGCCTTTACATCTCCCTTCTTCTCCTCTTTCCGCCCGTCCTCCTCCTCCTCCTCCTCCTTCTCCTCCTCCTTCTCCTCATATCACCTTCCCTCTTTCCCCTCCTCGTCTCCCCTCATCCTCATATGTTCCCCCTGTGCGAGCTGAGCGTGGTGTTGGACATCAGGCACCCGGGCTCGGGCAGTGCCCCGGATGGCCACGTTGTGCATATGACAACGTGCGAATGACTGTTTGAACTCCGCCTCCGCCCTCACCTTCCCGTTCGTCCGCCACCTCGTCCTCCTCGTCCGCCTCCGCCTTTACCCCTCCCCTCATGGATTCACCCTCCCCTCCTTTGTCCTTCCCCCCTCTCCTTCCCCCCTCAGCCTCTCCTTCCCTGGATTCACCCTCAACCCATCTCTTCTTCCCCCTTTTCCTCTCCTCGCCTGGTCTGGCGCTCCTTGCGAGCCTGGCCTTCGATGCCGCGGCGGCCTCGGGCAAGAAGGATGGCAGCGAGGAGGAGGAGGAGGAGGAGGAGGGGGAGGAGGAACGGAGAGAGACAACGGAGGATAATAGAGGGGAGGCAGGGGAGGGTGAGCATTTGTCTCGCCGCAGGTATTCATTGCTGTTCCCTTCGGTAGCTCATTGCTTGTGCTCCTTTTTACAGGCGCAACAGGCCTGAGTCTAATGGACGGCTAACTGTCCAATGGGAGGATGACCAACGTGGATGAGGAGGAGGGGAGGAGAAGAGTGAAGAAGGAGGTGGGAGAGAGGAAGGAGGGACAATGAGGAAGAGGAGGATACCATGCTGTTGGGGTTAATCCGGAACTCTCCTTCTCTCCTTTCGGCAAAGGTAGGAGCAGGGAGGGGAAGGAGAACGGGAGGAGACGGCGGAGGAGGAGGGGTAGGTAGAGGGTGTCATGCCTTTAGATTACCCCCCGTTCCCTCCTTCCCCCTCCTTTCTCCTCCATCCCCCCCTTCCGTCCTCCCCTTGCCGTCCTCCCCGAAGAAGTGGGAGGAGGCGGCCCCGCCGTCCCTTTTGCGGGCGCCCCGGCTCCTCTCTGCTGGCGCCCTCCCCCCCCCCCAGCCCCGCGGCCGTCCCCGGCGGCGAGGTCAAGCGGCAGATCCAGCGGGGCCTTCACGACTGCAGCTCAGCAGACCCTGGTCCTTCGATCGGGGCTCGATGAGGAGGGAGGTCGGGCGGGGCGGAGGGACGGAGGGAGGGGGGAAGGGAGGGAAAGGGAGAAGGATGATGATGATGATGATGATGATGATGATGATGCTGATGCTGATGCTGATGCTGATGCTGATGCTGATGCTGATGCTGATGCTGATGCTGATGCTGATGATGATGATGATGATGATGATGATGATGATGATGATGATGATGATGATGATGATGATGACGAGGAGGAGGAGGAGGAGGAGAGCGGGGAAGGAAGGGAGGGAGGGATGCAGGGAAGGAAGGACAGAAGTCGAGAGGAGGAGGAGAAAGAGGAGGAGAAGGAGGAGGAGGAGGAGGACAAGGAGAGGGGAATGACGAACAGGAGGAGGGCGATGGGACAAGGGAGAAGGGAGTGGGAAAGGAGAAGAGATGAGGGATGAAGCAGGAAGGGGGAGGATGAAGTGGAGCGGATTAGAGGCAGGAGGAAGGAAGCAGGGAGAATGTATGAGGAAGGGAGGAGGAGGAAAAGGAGGAAGAGGAGGAGGAGGAGGAGGAGGATCAGGAGGAGGAGGAGGGAAAAAGGAGGAGCGAGGAGTGAGCATTGAGGAGGGCACACGGTATGGGGGGGGAAGGGGGACCCTGTAAGGGTCGGCAGGCGAAGAGCGGCACAGTATCAACTTTCGCGCCGTGGTAGGCAATTGTCCCAGGGAGGCTGAACAGTTGAGACCTCCTCCTCAACCTCCGCCTCCGCCTCCTCCTCCTCCTCCGCCTCCTCCTCCTCCTCCTCCTCCTCCGTAGCTAATTTAACTCAAGACCGATGCTGTGGCGGGCTGCGCCCGCATTGGCACGGCTGGATACCTCTAGCCCGCGGCAGTCAGGGCGGTTCCGCCTGGCGTTGCTTTCTCCCTGCCTTCACTGGAGGAGCTGGGCACCTCCCACTCACTCATGGCTGCTGCTTCCTCTGCTATTTCTGGCGTGCCTGGTCTGCTCACTGCATCTCCAGCGGAGCGCCTGGAGCTGGCCCCCACGTTCCCATCCCAGGAGGCTGGGGTCTCTTCGATTCGTCTCCAGCCACGCCGATGCACGGCAAGGCCAAGTCTGCTCCTCAAGCACCTTCGCTCAAGCGTCTTTGTGGTCTTGGTGCTCCTGCTGCTGGGCCTGATGATGACTGGGAGGATTGCTCTGAGCCGTACATCAAGCAGGCCTGCCTCCAGGTGTTTGAATTGTACAAGGCTGCTCTCACCACCGAGATCGCATCCAAGATTGCCAAGGACTCCGCCGACACCAACAACCGTGTGCTCGCGATGGTCGGCGCGCTGCGCACGGAGGCCGCCAAGAAGTCTGACGGCGACGACGGCCAGCGGATCCTCGGCATTGTTCGCCCTGAAGTGGATGGCGTGCACAGGCTGCCCCGTCGGGCTTCGACCGCGGTGTGGACGCGACGATTGTCGTTGCCAGCGGCCCACGTCCCTCGACGATGTCAAGGCGTCGCTGCAGCAGTTCGCGTTGGGCTCGGGCTTCCAGGCGGAGGACTTCGAGATCCAGGCACTGCGGCCTCTGCCGACTGAGACGGTTTGCCGTTCAATTCCTCGGGCTCGTTGCGCCGGCGGCGCGGCGGGCTGCCTCAAAAAGCGCGACGGCTCCTGGCATGAGTTCTTTGTGGCCTGTTGCGGGGGCGCTCAATGCCGCCTACACCTGGGCCCTGACAAGGGCCCCAAGCAGATTCGGTTGGAGGTCACGCTACGCCGCGTTCGTCAAGCGCTGGCGGCCTCCTACCCCCACTCCAAGATCTTCATCGACAAGCAGCGCGGCACCCTCTCGGTCGATTGGAACCGTGTCGTCCGCGCCACCGTTTTCCCGGGCAACGAGCCGCCGCAGATCCACTAGGAGTCCGCCAACCTCGGCAAGATCGGCTGGGATAAGCAGTGCCGCATCGACGTCTGCCGTCCCTCGCGGCGCCAGAGTCCGAGGAGAACGGGTGTCTTTAGCGTCTGCGATCTCTTCGCTTGTACCTCTTCGCGGGCGGGGTCCTCGCGGCCCCCGCTCAGGTTAGCGACGTGGAATTGTCGGGAATTGCTACAGGCTGCTGGGGCTAAAGCCAGCCTGAAGAGGGACAACCTGGCCCGCTTGTTCCCGCGCACCACCATCATCTCCCTTCAAGAAGTTCATCAAGATGAGCTGCAGCTTCGTGTTTTTCTCCAGGCCGTGGACCCGAGCGCCGCCGTCCGCGCCAGCTTCTGCGCGGGGCAGGCTGGTCGGATTCGCGGTGGGGTTGCGATTTTGTTGCCTCGGCTTGCTCAGCGCGGGGGCTCCGTGGTCGAGTCGCAGAAGGCTGAGCTGGTCCCTGGCAGAGTTCTGCGTGCAACGGTTTGGCGTGGCGACACCTCGCTCGCGGTCTACAAAGCGCGTGACCACGACCTGACGCGCGAGGATGCCCAGTACGTCGCGCCCGGCATTTCTGCTTCGCTGCAATCCGCGGCGGAGGATCCCAAGGCTCGCTTCGTCCTGGTCGACGGCGACTTCAACTTTTCGGAGACCGACTCTCTGCCGCTGAGGGCCCCGGTGGCGGCGTTCAGGTGGTCTGGGCGCCAGCGCCGCGCTCGCGCCCCTCTTCGGCGCGCTGCGTTGGGGCGCGCGCTCGAGCTGGAGGGCCAGGAGGGGGCGCGCTACGTCCGCGACCAGGACTCGGAGGCGATCGTCGACAGGGCGTTCGTTTCCACGCACAGCTGGCAGGCCTGCCAGCACTTTTTCCTGCCCTCGGCGCTCGGCGCAGCCGCGGGCGTTGCCGACGAAAAGATCTGATCACACGGCGGTTATCGTCTCTATCTCGCCTCTCCCCCCTCGGCCCCCCTTCGGAACGTGCTCTCACGAAACACCATTGCAAGGGGCCTTTCTTTCGCGAGAGGTTGCAGGAGCTCGCCGACGCGGCGGATTGGTCCCCCATGCCTCCCCTATTTCGTCTCGAACATTACAAATATCTGCTGCGGGAAGCTGGCCGTGCCATTCGAGATCCGTTGTTCCGCGATCGCCCTGCTCACCCCCGTACTCTGCCACAGCTCGCTCGGTCGGTAGCGCGCGCGATTCTGAGAGGCGACCGGTTGCGAGCTGAACGTCTGCTTGCCTCTCATCCTGCCGCTGTTGCTCACATTCCCCTCGCCCCCAGTTGCGTCGAGCTGACGCCCCCCCCCCCCCCCCGCCGTTCCAGGGGCGGCCGTCGCGGGTTCACAGGGAGGCTGCCGCCCTCGAGCGTGAGGAGTTGGACTCGCGTCTTCGCGGCGGGGGCAAGGCTCGCCAGCTTCGCCTCATCATGCGCACCCAGGGGCGCAAGGCGCGCCCCTGGTCTCCGCTGGGTCGACGATTAGCTCGCTCTGGTGTCGCGAGTGCTGAACGTGGTTTGGTCTCGGACCCTGAAGCGCGGGTTCAAGCTCTTGGTGACCATTGGAGGCCGTTGTTCTTTCGGAAGCCCCGGGGCCGACGGCTCGCTTCGGAGCACGTTCGCATGTGGCTCCCCGGCGTTTCGCCGATCTCGCTTCCACCACCTACCCCTCGGCTTCTTCGGCAGATTATTTG